AAACCACAGTGCCCATTCACCCAGGCCCTGACACCACAGGGGTGAGCACTGCCCATTCAGCTTCTAACCCACAGTGCCCATTCACCCAGGCCCCACACCACAGGGGTGAGCACTGCCCATTCAGCTTCTAACCCACAGTGCCCATTCACCCAGGCCCCACACCACAGGGCGCCCACCACTCAGTCAACTCAACATCAACTGGCTGTAGATGGAATGGATCGTGGGAAGGATGGGCAAACAAGAAATAATGATGGTCAACAGCTATCCACAGGGCTCTACACGACATCAAAAACAACGTAGCTTTAAGCTTCCCGACTGGGCAATAAAAGAAATCATCTATCAGTATTACTTCAGAAGCACACACTTATTACTAAAAAATACTGCCCTGATAGCAGTCACCTTAGACTACTGTGTCTGAAGGAAAAGACATTCTCACCTGGAAAAGCTTAAAGAGTGTTCTTCCGTTGGATGCCACCATCTCGAGCAGCATGTCAAACTGCTGCCCTTCCGTCGTCTCACTGTATGGTGCACAGAGGGCGAAGGTCAGGAAGTCCAGCAGGGAACTGATGACCAGCGCACCAGTCCCATGGTCCTGAAACAGAGCAGAGACGGCCTTCAAGGTGTGCGCACACAGGAGTGCCAGCGACCTGGCCAACATTGGGCTCTGCCACATGTCGGGGTGAGCCCGTCACCTTCTGGCTAAACAGTAGTACTATTACCCTCCATACTTCAAAGGGAATAGAGTTAAAAGTCAGTACATTTCAGGAGAATAATAAAAATGCATCAAATATGTGTAACTACAGTTAATGTGCAGTTGTAGGAGGAAAAATCATCTTTGTTAACACAAGATTCTGGCAACGGTTCTCCTCTTGCATGTCACAGACTGTCCAGCTCTACAATTATTACCAGTGCTTAACGGACAAAGACTCACTTTCATTTTTTTCAGAACAATTTCAAGAAATTTTCAAAGAAAGAGAAAAAGAATCATTTTAGTCCCTGTGTAATAATGTAGAGGCTTTGCACCTTAACCTTCTAGATGAATAAAGAATCCTAAACTGGAATGCTTTACTATCAGTGATTAAGCAGAACTGCTGATGAATATTATTACGGCTGGGACCAGAACCCACACAAGGTCTAGCACACCTTTCAATGAGGGTGAACATTTTCCATTAAGACAAACTAAACAAAAACTTACCACATGAGAATTAAATTTCTCCAGTAAGTTTTCCAGAAACTTCTTTGAAGAAAGAAGAGAGGCTTTGTTTAATTGTTCTTGTCTTAAGTCATAGTCATCATGCATGGGCTAGTGATGGAAAAAAAAAGTGATCATTCACGAACAATCCTGTATGCTGGCACCACACAAGGATTCTCTATGCACGGAGAGAACTAGTAACCACACTGTCTAAAGCTTACCGCAGAAAGGACGCATGAGAAGACAGGCAGAAGTGGCTACACTCAGATTTAACTGAGCAAGGTGCTATCTGACTGAGAACAAATGACAGCTGACAGCGACACTAGGAAGCCTTCAGGGTCACAGCCCCTTTGTAAGAGACTAACACCCACCACCTATCCAGAATCGTGCCATGGAAGGGAGAATGGTAAAATTAACACTCGAAAGCTGGTACTTCATTAGTAAAACTTCTTTGTCTCAAGGTGATTGAGTGCTGGGGTAAATCAGAAGTTAAGATTGGAAGCAGGAGTGGCATCCACTTCCTAAACCACATGCCTCTGGAAACCCTGTGAATGCTGATAAATGTCGATGGTTGTAGAGGGGCTTCAGTCCTTTTGTTCATAGGGTGGTTATGAGTTGTGCTCAACTCGAAGGCAATCAACACACACACACACACACACACACACACACACACACACAGAGGCACACTCAAAATGGAATTGCAATCCTAATCTGCTATTGTTGACACCTCTCTTAGTCTTTCTTCTGCTGTTGGTAGGAACACTATTTACCTCACTAGTACAAAACTTGCATATGCTCCTTTATGTAAAATATGCACACAATATCCAGCACGTATTGAGACCTCAAGGTGTTTGTTGCACACTGTTAAATTCCTCTTATCTACAAATGCTCTACGGGAGTGAATGAATTCAGTAAAATTAGTAACTTCTTCTGTTCCCTGCTGCTGAGTCAGAATGGGCTCACTGCTGAACAGTGGGTTTTTAGAGGCTGTTAAGTCCCACAGGAGAAGACTGTCCATCTTTCTCTTCCAGAGCCTCTGGTGCATTTGAACTGGCAGAGATTAGATTAGCAGCATAACCCACTGTGTAAAGAGAATAGTTAACATGAATCTACTTTTGAGAACAAATGCAAAATACATGTGTTCTAATCTGCTAAGTGAGCTTACAGAATCTGAAAAGTCTCAGACACTCCTTGCTGAATTGAGGTCAATGAAACACCAAGGTCACACTGAGTATCTCCTCCTGCTCTCACGGGAGCAGTCACCAAGTGAGTGATTATCTCCACAGTCTGCCATGATTCCAGTGCAGCACCTCATTTCTTACATGATAATCTGGAGCACTGCCTATTACCACTGCTAATATACAGACACCGGAGCAAGCTTTCAAATGTAAACTGCGTCTGTGACTGCACCCACTGACAATGCCTTCAGGGTGCCTTACTAAATGACACTCCCGATGCCCCACCATTTGTGCTGCCAAGTCCAACTCACAGCGGCCCCAGGCGGCTTCCCAGGCTGTAGCTGTTCAGGAAGCGAGTGCAGAGCTGACTGACTGGAACCCCTAAACATTTGGCTACATCTGACATGGAGCATTTATGAGAGTCAGTTACATCACACACTCCCGTACACTGACATGCCAACCGTACTGTACTCCTGGCTGCGCCTCCAATATGCTCTCGGATGGTACCCCCTCTAGGAAGCCTTGACTACGATGCTGCATCTGTCTCCAATTACCAGACTAAGCCATGACCCTACTATTAGCTGCATGCATGTGCGAGCCCAATAAACTGTCAGCAATCTAAAGGGAGAACTTTGCCTTAACGTTTTCAGGTTTTTAGCACCAAGCACATTCACAGAACAAAGTTTCTGTGAAACAAATATGAGAATAAACAATAGCAAAGAGAGAAAATGAGAGGTTTTAACTTGTACTTGTTGGGCATCATCAAGTCAGCACAACTAACTCTAGTGACCCTATAAGCAACAGAGCTGAACCCTGCCCTGTTCCACGCCAACCTCGCAATGTGACACACTCGAGCCTACTGCTGCACTCACTGTGTCGGCCCACCTGGGTGAGGGTCTTCCTCTCCTCTGCCACCCCTCCATGATGTTCCTCTCCGAGGAGCTGTCCTGGCAACACGCCTGAAGAATGTGAGACAGGGCTTTATCATCTTCACCCTAAGAAGCTCTCTGGTTGCATCTTCTCCAGGCACATGTTTGTCCTTCCGGCAGTCCCAGGGATATTCAGAGCTCTTCTCCAGCACCACCATGCAAAGGCATTAATTTCTTCTCCTGTCACCCGTATTCACGACTCTCAGCAACACTTGGCACAGGACAGAGCAGGGCTTAGGGCTCTTGTACATGAGGTCGTTATGAGTTGCAAGAGACTCAATGGCACATAACAACAACAACAACTCCCAGCAGCACAGCAAGTGACTGAAAAGACCCTGGCTTGAACAGGCGCACCTTAGGCTTCAACCTGACATCAATGTTCCTCAATAATTTGGAGAGGCTCCTGACTGTAGACTTTCCCAGTGCAATATGTCTCCTGACCTCCTGAAGACAAGTGTATTGACTGTGGACCAAGCAAGATGAGTCACTGACAGTTTCAATCGTTTCTCCATCTATCATGTTGTTACCTAGCAGTCCAGTGGTGAGGATTTTTGTCTTCTTGATGCTGAGATGCAATCCATATTGAAGGCTGCAGTGGTTAATCCTCTGCAAGTGTTTCAAGTCCTCTTCACTTTCAGCAAGGAAGACTTTGTCAGCTACATAGCGAAGGTAACTGTTAAGTCTTCCTCTGATCCTGATGCCATATTCTTCTTCAAGAGTCCGGCTTCTTTTAATAATTTGCTCAGTATACAGACAGAATAGGTGTACAGAAATGATACAACCCTGAAGCACTCCTTTCTTAATTTTAAACCATGTAGCGTTCCCTTGCTCTGTTCTGAAAACAGCCTCTTGGTTTAGGCATCGATTTCGCATGAACACAATTAAGCATCATGGGATTCTCATTATTCTCAACAGAAGCATAATCTGTATCACAGGACGGCTGTAACTTAGTACACTGGACACGGAGAGGCATAATCTGTTATGACTCACACAGGACGGCTGTAACTTAGTACACTGGACACGGAGGCTTGTGGCAATCAAAGCACCAAGGGAAGCAAAGCAGCAAACTCCTGAGGAAAACGTCACTTACACACATGAGGGCACAGAGCATGTCCACAGCGGCGTGGATGACCCCATTGTTGCTCCTCTTGAGAGCCTTCACTACCTTCACTCCAAGACGCTCCCGGAACCTTCCAGAAGAGAAATGAGAAAGCACCTGTGACTTGTTAGTAAAGTAACACTTTCCTTCTCCTCCCTGCCAGTAAACACAGTTTGAATCTCATTTTTAGAACACAGCTTGTTGACAAGTGGTTTTTTTAGGCTTTCTTTTTTAACTGGAGGGTAGAAACATTTGTGTAATTAAAAAGCACCCTCTTTGCCACTTAACTCAATAAAACAAGAGTCAGGAAAAGTACTGGTAACACGGGGGAACCAACACCCCACTTACTTTCCGCTCTATTTGTTTTTTGTTTTTTTTCTATATTTTATTAATTTTCATAAACATTTACAGAGATTTTGGGTTTCCATTCATTCATTGTTGCACTATTCTCTCTACCCTCCTCCCAGTTTGTTCTTGTCCAAATGCCACAGTGCTTGTCAAAGCCAGTTCTGATTAATCTTCTTTGTCAGTGTGTCCTTTGCCATTCCCTGTCACTCCTCCCTGAGAGAGACTTCACCCTGAGTCATAAGGAAAAGGGGATGGCGTATTCTCTTAGCTACTTCCTGCTGAAAAGGGACGCTGTGGGTTTCAGGGTGAAGATCTTCTCTCACTACTGTAAAGGGCCCCTTTGGCAGTAGGAAACACATAGACTATTATGGAGATTGAGTTTGGAATTTAGATGCACTCTTATTGATTGTGCTTGGCCGTACATGTTCATATCCTTGAAGATGTATCATGGGGGTGTTGCAACCTAGAAGACACAACTTTGACTAACAAGTTATAAGTACATGAGTCCAAAAATTATGGAAAAGTAAAAGAAAAGATTCTTTCATTGTTTTACAAACCCTCCCCCAGGTCCCCTCCACCATGTAGCCCTCGCTCTAGTCTCCTGTGATGACAGAAATACCTAGTTATGTCTCTCTTTTAAACGGTTTTCTCCCTCCTCTGTTTCAGTGCAGTATACATTATTGAACCCATCTTACTCAGTCTCTCCCCAACCCCAAGGACAGTCCCATTCTACAACAGTGGCATCATGTAATATTTGTCCTTTTGTGACTGGGATATTTCACTCACTTTCTGCTCTATTTGTGATGAATAGAAACAGGTGTTAAGGCCAGAAAAGATCAGAGGTTGAGTGGGGGAAGCAGTACCTGTCCCAGTACCTGTCTCGGTTCCCTGCAAAGAGCGAGCGGTGCTATCGGGATGCACTTACTTTGGCAGCTGCGTGAAGGCCTGGAAGCCAGCCTTGGATGCTACCAGACGCCGTACCGCCTGGAACTGGCTCTCTAGCTCGGCGTGTGAGGCCACCACATCGCCCTCCTGGGACAGCAATGCTGTTATAGCGTTGTTGATCAGCTTCTCCTTGTTTTCTGAGAACAGACCCTGGGTGAAGGAACAATGGCTCAAACAGTTTGCATACCAAGCGTTAATGATGATGAAGGGAGTAGGATCAAATCTGCCTTACATCCTGCGTCACTGCGTGGAGAACGCCGCTGTAGGAAATATTCGCATTGAAGCGGAACACCGAGTCTGCAAAGTTGCCATCTACAAGGAGAAAGGTTCACAGAGAGGAGTCAGAGGCCTGCATGCTAATGCCTCATCCCAGTCAGGCAGCCAGTACTCACTCGGTGGCGTGGCCAGGAAGCGGAGATGAAGGCTCTCCACCTCTTCCTCCACGGGCATGCTCAGCAGCCCCCACCGCTGGCCCTTCTGGGTTGGTGTCATCTTCACACAGACATCTCTGTTCCCTGAAGCTCTCACCCCATCCAGCAAGCTTGCTAATAAAGAATCCCTGTGTTGAAAGAGAATGTTTTAGGATTGGTATGGAAGGAAACTGGCTTGAATGTCATTCAAAGGAAATACAAAACTCATTAGCACAATGCAAAGCTCCGAAGAGCAGGAGAGCTAAGGACAAAAGGTCGGAATTCTGCCTGGCGTCACTTCCCTGGAGTAGCTGGCGGATTCAGCAGCACAAAGTGCTGGGACTTCGCCCTGGAGCTCACTCTGTCCTGCCGTGCAGGCCCCTCCAGGCTGCAGGGGGCGTCAGGGTCTCCCTCACGACCGAGGAGTAACGTACCACACAGCACTGTGTCAACTCACTCAGCGGCTGACTCAGTGCGCACTCCGTCCTCGGATTCCGGGACCTATTCCACCTTCCCAGCTCTTCTCTTCCCTGTTACAACTCGCCAGGGGCACACCAGACGCACCCTGCTTCCCAGTGACATCCTGGCTGGCCACCAACTTCAAGACATCTTGCAGCAGATCTGCCGGACATAACACACAGCTGGATCTACTGCTTCCAAGGACACTGAACGCGGATCCAGGTAGAAGGAAATCCTAGTTACGCCAACCCTTCCTCATTTATAATGCTGCTGTGTGGTCCAGGTGGGAGGACGCCCTGCCTTAAGATGATGTGCAGTATATACTGAAGGTTGTAGCCTCTGATCTATTTGCATTCTCTTCACTCCAGCACACAAGTTAGGCATGTATGCATTGCAGGCAGGTAACAAGGTCAGGCCATCCCTGATGCCCACTGCTCTTCACACAGTCAAAGAACAGAAACTTGATGCACACCTCTGCTGACATTAACACATGCAGTATGGTCCTGTTCACGTGACTGCCTCTTCTAAGTCTATGTACAAGTTCTCCATAAGCACAACTGTGTGCTGTGGAGTTTTCCATTCTTTACAATGCTGTCTATAGTTCGTTGTGATCCAAACAATGAAATGCCTTTGTATAGTCAATAAGACATGGGAAAGTAATTATTTTGATACTGTCTGCCTTCAGCCAAGATCCATCTAGCGTAAGGAAAAGATATCCCTCATTCTACATTCTCTTTTAAACCTGGCTTGAATTCCTGTAATGTACTACTGTAACCAATTTAAAACTATCTGCAGCAGAACTCTGCTTGCATGTAACATCATTAACATGATGTGCATTTTTACATGATGTGACGTAAAATCTTGCTGAAGAGCATTTAAAGATGACTGGACTAGCACATCAAATGGAAGCTGCCAGAAAATCAAGGTGGATTCAGCAGAGGCTACAGAACAAGGGACAATGCTGCTAATGTCAGAAGGCCCGTGCCTGAGAGCAAGGAATGTCAGAAATATGTTAACTTGTGTTTTATTCACTATGCAAAGGCATTTGACTGGATCATAACAAATCAGGACTAACACTGAGAAAAAGGGGATTCCTGAACTGTGCCCTGCTCTGAGGCCACTTAATTGTGCTCATATAGAAACTCTACACGGACCAAGAAGCTATTGTAGAAACAGAGCAAGGGAACACTGTTGTTGTTTACTGTTGAGTAAAGCACAACTCATAGCAATCTTATGAACAAAAGACATGAAACCCTTCTATAACTATCGTCATTTCTCAAAGTTCATCGAGTTTCCAGAGGCATGCTGTTTAGGAAGTGGATGCCGCTCCTGCTTCCAAAAAGGAACACTACAAGGTTTAAAATCAGAAACGCTATACATTAAGTTGTGTCCTTTCTCCATACCTATTCAATGTGTATGCTGAGCAAATAATCTGAAAAGTTGAATCTCATCAACACGTTTTATGCAGATGACACCACCTTGCCTGCAGAAAGCGAAGACAACTTGAAGTACTTGCTGGAGAGGATCAAACACTACAGCCTTCAATATAGATCAAATCTACATTGGGGAAATCTCTTGTCAAAGAGCTCGTCAATGTTCTTAAGAAAAAGGATGTGTGATTAGACTAACGTGTGTCTGATCCAATCATGTTATTTTTCAATTGCTCCCTATGAAAGACAGAAGAATCTGTGTTTTTGAATCACAGTGTTGGCAAAGAGTGAATATCCATCCCATGGACTTCCAAAAAACAAACCAATCTGTCTTGAAGCATGTGTAACCAAGTGTTCCTCAGAAGGAAGGATGCTGAAACTTCTCACTTATTTTGGGCACATTTGCAGGAGGAAATAACCCCTGGAGAGAGACATGCTCTCTGAAGTGGAGGGTTGGGCAGAGAGAAAGGCCCTCTCTGAGGTGGACTGGCACGGTGACTGCTACAATGTGCTTGAGGATGAGAGCTTGTGGAGATGGTGCAGGATGGGACGAGCTTCTGATCTGCGCAGTTAAGCTGATGGCACCAAACAACAACCTGTATGCTGAGCAAAGTATTTGAGAAGCGGGACACTGATGACTATGGCATAAAGACTGGAGGAAGACTTAGGAATAATCTACAATATGCAGATGTCACAACCTTGCTTGCTGAAAGTGAAGAGGACTTGAAGTGCTTGCTGTAGAAGATCAAAGAATAATACCTTCAATTATGGATTGCATCTCAACATCATGACAGATGGAAAAAAGGTTGAGGGTGTCAACAACCTCATCTTGCTTGAATCCACAATCACCCTTCGTCCCAACAGTCAGATCAGGAGATGTACCGGGACTAGGAAAGCCTGCAGTCAGGGACCTCTCCAAATTACTGAGGGGCAAGGACGTTTGAATACCAACGTGCACCTGATTCAGGTCAGTCTCTTCAGTCACTTGTTATGCATCTTGACGAAAGAGGAATTGATGCCATTGAGCTGTGGTGCCAGGGAAGAGTATCAAATACTCCATGGACGGTGAAAGAATAAACAAGTATGTCTTGGAGAAGGTGCAGCCAGCGTACTCCTTGGAGGCCAAGCAAACAAAGCTTCATTTCGCAGACTTTGGGCAGGTTGCTAGAGGTTATCCCTTGGAGGGACATCATATTTGGAAAGAAGGAGGGTCAGTGAAAGAGAGGAAGACCCTCAACCAGATGGACTGACATGGGTACTGCACCAATGGGCTCAAGTGTGTTAGATATTGTAAGGATGGCACAGGATAGAACAGGGTTTAGATCTGTTGTTCACAGGGTCACTGTGAGTCGTAGTCAACTTGATGGCACCTAACAGTACTAACAAGGCTGTTCTTTATTCTGTTTAGCTAACTCCAGGTCTTTGCATAATTCATTTAATATAATAAACTTATTTTTAAAATGCCACTTTTGTAGACTTTATACAGTAAGTTTTCTAGAGTGAAACACAATTACTGACAATAATGTTGGAATTGAAAGAAATCTTAATAAAGCTGTACGTACCACTAGTAAACTATAACAGGACTATTTCAAATGTCTTTAAAACACAAGCTGCCTCCATTTGTTCGAAGCGCCATTAAAGAAGAGCCTGGAGTACAAGAACTCTGAGTTCTGTGATAACAGTTTAGGACCTGAAGGTAGAGCCAGTATTCTGAGTCGAGTGCACTGTGCATTTGTTTACCTTACAGCAGGGTCAGAGTTAAACAGTTCACCATTTTCACAGCAACTGTCAAACCGCAGTAATAGAAAAATATTTAAGAACACTGCAGTGGAAAACTGGTAGGTAGTTTTTGATGTCAACTTGATACATTAACACCAAGTGTATGGCTGTCAAAGTGCTTGGCTGCTGAGAGAGCATCAGAAGCATGATATGTATCAAGGCCACAGAGTGAGCCACCTTTACCCTGAGTACGGAAGCCCTGACACACTGCAGGAGGAGAGCTATGAACTCAGGTACGCTGTGTGGGCACACTGGAGGGGCG